AAAAAAAAAAAAAAAAAAAAAAAAAAAAAAAAAAAAAAAGAAAAAAAAAGAGTGAGAGCAAGTGGGGAGGTGCCACCCACTTTTAAGCAACCAGGTCCAGAACCCACTTGTCACCAACGGGATGGTGCTAGACCATTCATAAGGAGTCTGTCCTCTGATCTAATCACCTCCCACCAGGCTTCACCTAGCGCTGGGAATTATTACATTTCAACCTGAGATTTGGAGTTTGGACAAATATCCAAGCTATATCATGTACATTGCATTTGTTACCTACCCACTCCCCTTCTGTGTCTCCACTATGTACACATTGTTTACTTCTCTCTTATAACTGAGAACATGCAGTATTTGTCTTTCTGTGTCTGAGTGGTTCATGTAAGATAACAGCCTACAGTTCCATCCATGTTTAGATCATAGCTGACACAGAGACGGATGGTTACTTGTCCAGGGTCACTCAGCTGTCACTGCCCAAGGGGCTCACCTTGCCCAATGCCTAGACAGAGCTCATTTTTTTTTTTAACTTTTTATTTTTTTTTTAAAGACGGGGTTTCACCATGTTGGCCAGGCTGGTCTTGAACCCCCGACCTCAGGTGATCCGCCTGCCTTGGCCTCCAAAGTGCTTGAATTACAGGCGTGAGCCACCACGCCCGGCCAACAGAGCTGATTTATCAAGACGGGGGAATTGCAATAGAGAAAGATGGCCGGGTGCGGTGGTTTTTGCCTGTAATCCAAGCACCTTGGGAGGCTGAGGTGGGCAGATCACTTGAGGCCAGGAATTTGAGACCAGCCCGGCCAGCACGGTGAAACCCCCTCTCTACAAAAACTACAAAAATTAGCTGGGCGTGATGGCGCACACCTGTAGTCCCAGCTGCTCGGGAGGCTGAGATGAGAGGATTGCTTTAACCTGGGAGCAGAGGTTGCAGTGAGCCGATATCACATTACTGCACTCCAGCCTAGGTGACGGAGTGAGACTCCGTCTCAATTTAAAAAAAAAGAGAGTAATTTGCGCAGAGCCAGCTGTGCAGGAGACTGGAGGTTTTTATTACTCAAATCAGTTTCCTGAACATTTGGGATGGAGTTTTTAAAGATAATTTGGTGGGTAGATGCTCGGGAAGTGGGGAGTGCTGACTGGTCAGGTTGGAGATGGAATTGTGGGGGGTGGAAGTGAGGCTTCTTGCTGTCTTCTGTTCCTGTGTGGAATCGCAGCACTGCTTGAGCGGGATTACTGGTCTGGGTGGTATCAGCTGATCCATATATATCCACGGCGTTTCTAGATATCCAAAGTGTCTCAGGCACTGGCCTTAGGTTTTATAATAGCGATGTTATCCCCAGGAGCAATTTGGGGAGGTTCAGACTCTTGCAGCCATAGGGTACGTGACTCCAAAACCATAAGTTCTAATCTTGTAGCTAATTTATTAGTCCTACAAAGGCCAACTGGTCCCCAGGCACCAGGGGAGTCTTTCTGGGAAAGAGATATTATCAATTTTGTTTCAGAGTCAAACCATAAACTAAATTTCTTCCCAAGATGAGTTCGGCCTACTCCCAGCAATGAACAAGGACAGCCTAGAGGTTAGAAGCAAGATGGAGTCAGTTAGGTCTGATCTCTTTCACCGTCATAATTTCCTCTGTTATAATTTTTGCAAAGGCAGTTGCATAACCAGTGAACAGGGAGCCTGTCAGGGGGTTCCATGCCATGGGGGCCTCCCGGAGCCCTGGCTGGGCAGAACAGCCTGGCCCATCTTTGCAGGAGTGGGGTCTGGAAGTGGGTGGGCGGGAGCTCAGGCCCCGCTGACACTGTCTGTGTGTTAGTTACAGGACTCTGATCAGACCTACCTACAGAGTGTCCTACCGAACGGTGACCGCGCTGGAGTGGAGGTGCTGCCCTGGCTTCACTGGGAGCAACTGTGATGAGGGTAAGTCTGCAGGCACTTGGGGTACAGGGGAGGGTGCAGGGGGCCAGGCGCGGGCCAGGCTGGCGTTTCTCCCTCCCCTGGCTTCCTCCTGCAAGCAGCTCTCCTTTCCTCCATAGCTTGAAATTCTTTCCTTTTTCCCAATCACCTCTGAAGCAAATGTTCTGGATGGCCCTGGTCAAACGAGGGTGAAGCTGCCCGCCCTGCCCCCGGGCACCGAGGCAGGTCCCAGTTTGCATTGGTTGAGTAGTGGAATGCAGAAGCCAAAAACAATGCTGGTGCCAGGGGAGGGGATTTGATTTCTAGCCGGTTTCTTCCGTTTCTGGCTCCGATGCACCTAGAACCCCCCAGGGCAGGCAGAGTTGGATATCTGGGCTCTGAGCAAATGCGGATGAGGTCTCACCAGCCCTGAGGCCATGTATTTTGTAGACTGAGGCAGAGAGGCTGACCAGTAGCTGCAGGCATTGACCCAGCTGCTTTCCGTCTTTCTGCCCTGCTGGTGTTTAGCCCGGGGGCCTGGGCTCAGCCTGGCTCTGGAGCCTGAGAAGGTCATACAACAGCACTTTGGTGGGCCAGCAGTGGCGGACAGAGCAAATCCCCCTTCACTCCTTGCCGGGGAAATAAAGTCCTGCCTAATGAATAAGTTTGCAGCCCACCTTGTTTCCCAGCATGGCTGGATGGGTCTGGAGGATGAGGCTCAGGGGTCAGATTTTTTTGTTTGTTTGAGACAATGTTTCACTCTATTGCCCAGGCTAGAGTGCAGTGACATGATCATGGCTCACTGCAGCCTTGAACTCCTGGCTCGATCGATCCTCCCACTTCAGCCTCCTGTGTAGCTGGGACTGCAGGTGTGCGCCACCATACCCAGCTATTTTATTTATTTATTTATTTATTTATTTATTTATTTATTTTTGAGAGGAAGTTTCCCTCTTGTTGTTGGAGTGCAATGGCACCATCTTGGCTCACTGCAACCTCCACCTCCCGGTGTCAAGCAATTCTCCTGCCTCAGCCTCTAGAGTAGCTGGGATTACAGGCATGCGCCACCACACCTGGCTGATTTTCTATTTTAAGTAGAGACAGGGTTTCTCCATGTTGGTCAGGCTGATCTCGAACTCCCAACCTCAGGTGATCTCCCCGTCTCAGCCTCCCAAAATGCTGGGATTACAGGTATGAGCCTCTGCGCCTGGCCCCAGCTATTTTTTGGTATGATTTTTAATGACAGGTTTTGCAGTATTGCTCAGGCTGGTCTCAAACTCCTCGGCTCAAGCTATCCTCCTGCCTTGGCCTCCCAAAGTGCTGAGTTTATGGGTGTGAACCACCCTGCCTGGCCGGAGGGGTCAGTTTTATATTTGGAAACAGTAGCTGTCTTCCACTTTCACTTTCTGACAAAATTCTTCCCTGTCATCTTATTACTTACTGATTTGATTGCAGTATCTATATGCTTTGAGTGTAGTTTGCCTAAAGCGCTCTTTGAGTTACAAAGCCACAATTGACAGAAATAGCAAGACTCCAACAATTGCTTCAGGGGACCGCTGGCCCAGAGCAAAACTAAAGGAAAGGGGCTGGAATGCCATGGAGTCCAACAGGTGCCACTTGTCCTGGTTGATGAGGTGCCCGATGCTGGCAGGGGAAGCTGGGCTATCCTGTTGTTATAGGGCTGACTTGGACCCTTCTTGAGAGAGGCGCAGGAAGGATCTCTAAGGTGAAGGGGTGAGGGGATGCCAGGCTTCTATGCAATGGGCCAGCCCTGGCATAATGCTATGGTGTTGAAGGACCACAGCTCACAGGTCCCTCATGGAGGCCTGAGCCTTTCAGTGCCAGGACCTGGATCTGTTATTCTGGTCAGCGCCGTGACTGGTCCCCCAAACAGGACGGAGCAGACCTGCCATCTAGATTCTGCCAGAGCCCAAGGAGGCGAGTGTTTCTAGGGAAGTGATTACGCTTAGGTGAGTACCTGAGCCTGTTTCAGTGATGAGTGAAATCAGCAATGTCAGGCTCACGCCTGTAATCCCAGCACTTTAGGAGGCCGAGGCTGGAGGATCGCTTGAGCCCAGGAGTTTGAGACCAGCCTGGGCAACATGGTGAAACCCTATCTCTACTAAAATATATAAAAATTAGCCAGGTGGGGTGGCATGCGCCTGGAGTCCCAGGTACCCAGGAGGCTGGGGTAGGAGGATCACTTGAGCCTAGGAGGTTGAGGATGCAGTGAGCTGAGATCAAGCCACTACACTTCAGCCTGGGCAACAGAGCAAGACCCTGTCTCAAAAAAAAAAAAAAAAAAAAAAAATCAGCCATGTTGGGAAGCTCATCTGAGCCAGAGATTTTACTGTGGCTTGGTCCCATAGACCATGGCAGGCTGCAGTGAGGTACTTTATGGATTTCTCTCTGGGCTGACCATCCAAGTCTTGCTTCCAGAAGCCCTCTCTCAGCATGAAGGTTTCAGAGGCTGGAATTAGTGGCTCACGCCTGTAATCCCAGCACTTTGGGAGGCCAAGGTGGGCAGATCGCTTGAAGTCAGGTTTTCAACACAAGCCTGGCCAACATGGTTAAATCCTGTCTCTACCAAAAATACAAAAATTAGTCAGGCGTGGTGGTGGGCACCTGTAAACCCAGCTACTTGGGAGGCCGAGGCAGGAGAATTGCTTGAACCTGGGAAGCAGAGGTTGCAGTGAGCCAAGATCATGCCACTGCACTCCAGCCTGGGTGACAGAGCGAGACTCTGTCTCAAAAGAAAAAAAAAATGTTTAAGTGGTCATTCTCCTTCAAGTACATAGTGAGCGCTGTTTGATTTATGGGTTTTATTGAGCTCATTTAAAGAGGGAGCTGGCAGAATTACAATACCTTCCAGGAACCAAGTACAAGGGCCAGACCTCCCTTAGGGTAACATTAATTCTTTGTGTGTGTATATATAAAATATGTATATTACATATTATTATTGAAATGTGTAATATATAGTCATTGAGATATATAATATATAAATTATATATATTCCATATTCAATAATATAGAATTATTGGATTATATATTTCATATTCTATATGAATATGGAATAAATATATACATATTTTATTCTATATGAATATGGAATATATAGAATAATATAATTCTTATGAATATGGAATATAGAATAACAATACATATAGAATTCTATATGAATACGGAATATGCAATTCTATATGAATATAGAATATATTATTAATAGATATTCCAGTAACATATAACATATTATTGAATAATTATTGATGTTAATTATTGATAATAATTAATATTAAATAATTATTGATATATTAAATAATATATAATGTTGAACAATATTACTGAATAATTATAGATCTATAGTGTTGAATAATTATTGATAATAATTAATATATATTCCAGTAATATATAATATATAATTGAAGTATACAATACATATTATATATTATTGAAATATATAACATATAAAATATAATTGAAATATATATAATATAGTCATTGACATATATAAAATATATTTCTCCATAATTAACAAGATCTCAATAATAAATTATATATAAAATATGTTACTGTATTATTTATATGTTATATATAATATATACAATATGAAATATATTTATATGTTATGTAAATTATATATTATATGTAATTTATGTATTATAATTTATATTGTATTTATATTGACAATGAATACATTATATGTTATATATAAATATTATACTTAAATTATAATTTATATTTAAATTATATACAATTTGAGTATCCCTAATCCAAAATCCAAAATTCTCTAAAATCTGCAACTTTCTGAGCACTGACCTGATGCTCAAAGGTAATGCTGAGTGGACCATTTTGGATTTCTGATTTTCTGATTTGGGATGCTGAACTGGTAACATAATTACATATTATATATATATAGTATATAATTTATATATTTCTATAAATACGAACCTAAAATTAAGACCACTAAGTGTGATTCTATGCAGTAATAAAGACAAAACCTTTGTGGTTATTGTCTCTACTGAAGAGAAATCATCTGTTTTTCCTTTTTTTTTTGACAGAGTCTTGCTCTGTTGCCCAGGCTGGAGTGCAATGGCGCAATCTCTGCTCACTGCAACCTTCGCCTCCTGGGTTCAAGAATTGTCCCACCTCAGCCTCCCGAGTAGCTGGATTACAGGTGCCCACCACCACGCCCAGCTTTTTTTTTTTTTTTTTTGGAAGGAGGCTCACTTTGTTGCCCAGGCTGGAGTGCAGTGGCACGATCTTGGCTCACTGCAACCTCTGCCTCCTGGGTTCAAGTGATTCTCCTGCCTCAGCCTCCCGAGTAGCTGGGACTACAGGCACACACCACCATGCCCAGCTAATTTTTGTATATTTAGTAGAGATGGGGTTTCGCCATGTTGGCCAGGCTGGTCTCCAACTCCTGGCCTCAGGTGATCCACCTGCCTCAGCCTGCCACAGTGCTGGGATTATAGGCATGAGCTACCGCACCTGGCCAAAATCGTTTGCTTCTTACCAGTTTTGTATGAGTTAACATCCAACTTGGCAGAATCTGAGCTGCAATACATAGTGAGCGATAACTGAAAGTGACATTATCCCAGGGCGTCAAATGGCAGGTGGATGGGCTCATGAGCTAGTGCTCTAGAAGGCTCTTGACTCTAGAAGGCTAGGCCCTCAGCTTTTTGCCTGTTTCCACATGTTGCATAGCCCTCCTTGGAGACTGAGTGGTTGAAACATAGTAGCCCATGGCAGCAGGCGGCAGGACCGTGAGAGGACAGTCCCTGCTGACTGAGAGGTCCTCACCGCCAAGCAGGTTCATGTGGGCTGTGGGCCCACCCTTCTCAATAGAGGAGGCAGAGGTGAAGGGGGGTGACTGTGAGCTGGTGAATTGTTCCAAAGGCGTCTCCCCTCAAGGGCTTAGCACCTCACCTCAAGAAGAAATTTCTTATCCGATAAACCACATCGATACTGATTATCAATATACAGTCGTGCGTGGCTTAATGATGGGGCTATGTTCTGAGAATCGGGTG